CATGTTATGGAACTAAATACTTCAAATATGAATTTGTAAAATGATACTGTGCCCTAATTTTTTAACTTCCAGAAATAACTAGGCACTACAAGTAAGGAACTTGCAGCAGTAGTTCAAGTTCACCTGTGGTGGATCAAGTAGCTGACAGAACTTATAGCCTCAGGACATCACTAAGAAGGGGAATTGTCTCATGGAGGTTTTTTGTTTGTGTTTTTCTTTTATTGGCACTTCAGAGTTAATTCAGAGTTTCTTGATGAGTCTCATTACACCCATCCAGAGGCTGTGAGTCTAAATAATTCTGCTGGATTAGAGGGAATAAAGACAATCTGTGAGAGACTTTTTTAAGCAGTTTGGCTTGGTAGCAGGGAAATGGGCAGAAAGCCGCTGCAAAGGAGAGCTTGGGAAAAAAATGAGCCAGGCATCGCTCAAGAATTTAATCAGGCATGAATACAACATCCACTGATGTCTCCCCTGCAGTGCTTGTGTGAGACAAATCTGCCATTATTTCTTGGTCTACCATCAGCCCATTTTTGAATCACTTCCCTCTTGCCTGCCTGGGCTGCATCACCTGCAAAACCAAATGTGAGTATGGAGGTGCTTCCCCTTGCACAGAAGGGTCTAACATGTGAAGTGGAGCAGTCTGGAATGTTAGTCCTTTCTCCTTGCTTGGTCTAGTGCATCAGGCTTATCTGTATCTTACCTCAACCTAGGGGATTGTTAATATCTATTGTTAATATCTCTTCCTGTGCACAGTCACTCAAACAGTAACGTTCTTCTTCATGTTCAGGTGGAACTTCCTGTGCATCAGTTTGTCTGTTGCTTCTTGTCCTTGCATGGGGTTATTCTTCTTCAGGTGCAGGACCCTGCATTTGCCTTTGTTGAATTTCAGACAGTTCTCTGCCTATCTCCTGAACCTGTCAAGGTCCTTTTGAAGGGCTGCACAGTACTCTGGGGGATCACCCACTCTTACCAGCTTTTTGTCATCAGTGAACTGCTGAGGAGGCACTCTGCGACTTCATCCTCTGAACCAGATTTCTCGGATAAACTCAGTCCTTCATATACTTTCCCCTGTTAGGCCTGTGCTTGTTTTCTGTAGATGGAGGGGACTCTTGGCCCCTTTGTTGCCAGCAGAGCTATCCACACAGACAGGGCAACTGGGGGAAGGACTGCATGTTCCTCAGAGATGGCCCATGTGTGGTTTCCATAGAGTTTCCTTTTTCTTCTCTGAGCAAGCTAGAAAAGAAGGTCCTCCTAGAGAAAGAGGGGAAAATTTTGTGCTAGCTCAGGCTTCCTGATAACATCAGATTAGAGGATCTATTTCTACTTTAGCTATTTAAAATATAATTTGCTGATGATGGAAAGCATTTTCGAAATTTTGAATTTAGAATCTCCCTATTTTCCCCAAAGCAGCAGTGCGAGAAGCCTCAGTGCAAGCACGGCCATCCATGTGCAGTCTTCATGACGTGTTTGCTCTCTGCTGAGACAACTGCGTAGGTGGCAGCTGTGTTTCTGGTTTTCAGGAAGCCGTTGCCCATCCCACTCTAAGTACCTCAGTGATAAATGTCATTTGTTTTCCTCAGGAGACTGAATAACGATCATACATTCAGGGCCTTTTGGTCTGTATTACTGTCACTGCATTAAAAGTCTTGCGTCACCAAGTTCAATTATCTACTTGAGGCTTTTCGCAAATCTGCATTTCTTACTGAATCCAGTCTTGGCCTTCTGTTTGGATGCTTCTCCCAGTAAATGTCATGCAACTGCTTTTCAGCTTGATCCTTTTATCATGAATTGCTGCCCAATAGACTACACTTTTCTCCTTTACATCCCTCGTGAGACCTTCTAATGCAGTATTGCCTACCCAGACACCAAACAGTTTGGTGTGGCTGGGAAATAAGATGCTTTGGAAAAGCTGCAGTTTTAATTGTTTTGTAAATACTCAAGTGACTTGTAACCATTAAATTGTATAGTCCCCAGCTTATGCAGTGATGTGCTGTGGCTTGTGGTAGCCCTCCTAAGTGTATCCTCCATTCCCTTCTGTGTCTTACTATGTACTTTTTGTTTTATTTTGGATGAAATATTTTACAGGAGGAACTGTGATTTGTGGATTTGCTTAGTGCCTAGCACAGTGGAACCATTTTATGTTTGGACTGCCACAGTTTGGCATCTGCCCTTTCTTGGGATGCTTTTAATCACCAGGATGCCTGTGAGGACTCTTTCAAGCATATTGTAAGAAGTAATTACCATCGGAATTGGGCCAACTGGGCACATGACAGAAGGCAAATACTGAGACAGTGCCAGTGCATTTATGTTTGCCTCTTTGCAGTTGTGGTGAAAGCCATGGAATTCAAAAGAAGTCAACAGTGGTCTTTGCAATTGGTTAATTTTTACTGTAGATGTCCCAGACCTGATCTAGACTCAGTTACTAGACTTCTAGTGTAGTGACTAGATATTTTCCAAATAGTAAAAAAGAAACAGAGAATAAATAGATTTTTATTAAGTATATGGTATAGAACTAGGAGAGAGGAATCTTCTTTGAATGGAGGAAATAATGTAGGGTAGAACCAGATGTGGATTGTTGACTATGTTTCTGTGAGTCTTTGGCTTTTGTAGGGAGGTGTAAGGCAATGGAAATAATTGGTGAGGTGATCCTTGGAATAGGAAGGGAGGGACTGAGATGGAAGGACCTTCTGCGTATCTGATTCAACTTTGTGAAGAGATTTTCAAAATTACAAGGAAAATCTTATAGAGATAGCACTGCATGCTGTGAATGCTCCCAGCTAACAGTTCAAATACATTTCATGTAAGGCTGTAGAGGGAAGTACAAGGACTAAGGACCACAAGCGGAAAAGTTAGAAAGCCTTATAGAAAAGAGAGAAAAACTATACAATTCCTTGGCAGCTTGGTGAAATCTTTACAATAATTTTCTTCTATGGAGAATGACATTATGTATTACATTATTATTACATTTTACTTTGTTTGAATTATTAAACTGTTCTTATCTCAACCCATGAGTTTCACTGTTTTTTTCCTCTGATTCTCTTACCCATCTCATTGCAGAGCAGTGAATGAGTGGCTGTGTAGCACTCAGTTGCTGGCTGGTGTTAAACCACGGCGCCTTCTTACTGCTTTCCTTTAATTCTGTACCTCTCACTTTTGATTTGTTCTTGAAATTATGTGAGAATGGAGGAAGGATATGAGGATTCAAACTCCTAAGCTTAACAACTGTGCTGGCAAAACTAACCAACTAACATTACACAGACAACTCATTCTCCTCAGTTGGCAGTGCCCTTATGCATCAGCTTCTTGTGGACTATGTGGAGATACACCTCCTCTATATTTCTCATGTGCTACCTCCTCTGCTGTCTTGCAGGGTCTCTTGGAACTGAACTGTTAGGAGACATGAGGGAATCCTCAGCGATTCTTTAGTCTTTCACCTCCAAACTGACACAGTGCTGTTGACCTACATCTGTAGCATCTGATGATGGCTCAGTGTCCTGTGTAAAATGGATTGTGCCATTAGAAAATGGGTCTTTGTTCAAGCACCCACATCACATGAACTGCCATGTTGGCTGTGTGTCCATTTAAGAGAGGAGTGAACAGGTCGTGGATACAGCTCTGTCCTTTCCATTTTCAGTATTCCCCTGTGTGTGTCTTCTTTATGTTCGTTATTATAGTTCCTTTTTCCCTTATAGAAGTTTCTCTTATTTCATCTCCTATGAGAATTCCAATCATACTGCATGTTAATACTTTGTTCAGAGGGGCACTGTGTTTACAGAGCAGGGTGGGAACAGTCTCTTTCCAGATGGCATGGAATGACTGCACATAAAGTTAATGAGGTCCTTTCCTAGCACATTGTGCCACAGAACTGACAAGTGCAGAACCAAGTTAAATAGTGCCTGATAAAGAGTCAAGAGAAACTCAACTTGAAAGCATAAGTTTCTAAGAATGAAAAAGGGCAAATTCACCCTGTAATGTAAATCTGTAAGGTTTCAGTAAAATAATGCTTATAATCACCTTGTGTCAGTGACTGTACCATGGCAGACTTGTAAATCTCTACAAAAAGTAAAACTAATTGTGCTGAAACAGTTCAGTCATAAGCAAACTGTGCCTTTTCAAAACCTCTTCACCAAATTTCTTCCTGTATACACAATTCGAGTTTGTTCTCATTTCCTGTTTATCATGACTACCTCTATCTAGGCTCAGCTGTTCTTTTTTTTTCTCCTCCTTTGTGTTTTGCATCCTGAAGCTAAATCTGAATGGATTTCAATGGCTGTCCTGTGCTTTTTGACTTGGTATCAGGCAGTCTGACACCATAAGAAAATTATTTTCCAAACGCTAGCCATACAGTTCATGAGTTCTTCAACAGACAAAATAAAAGTTCAGCTGAATAACGAGTGCAAGATGTGGTGTCTGAAGGTGTAAAATCTCTGAAATTTGCCCCTCCGGTTCCCTTGCTGTAACTCCCATCAAAGCTGTGTTTTTCACTACAGCAAACATTTTGGGTATAGAGACTGTAGGTGACAGCTGGAAAGGCCCAGGTTTTCAATGTTGTGTTCATCTAATCTATTCCATATTAGAATCAGAAAAGTAAGGGACAGTGCTGTTTCTTGAAAAGAGCAAACAGGTGGTGTGTGCTCCTTGTGAGATGACTGTTTTTCTACTGACCTGCAACAGTAAATTCTTTGGCAGCCTCACTCCTGACAAAGACCCTGTACCTGTCAACTCTGTCCTTATCACCAATGCGATACCAGTGGCATCCTGTTTCTCAGGCAGAGCAGTTTACGTTGTTCAGGCTTATTCTAAGTCATGGAGTCTTTTAAAGTGCCACTTTTCCCCAGGACTTAAAATGTGCTGTGGTAAAAATTAGACAATTTAAAATTCACTTATTTCTCATATTTATCCTTTGTGGGTGTTATGAGTTTCTGTGTTGCCATCTGGGGATAAGGACTTGTGACACCCTTGTTGACTCCTCTCTCTCTCTCTCCCCCTCTTCATTTCAGAGTGCTGCTGAGGTGAGTGCAGAAGAATGGCTGCGGCAGAACCTCTGACTGCTTTCTCCCGATGGTACCTCTATGCCATCCATGGCTATTTCTGTGAGGTGATGTTCACAGCTGCCTGGGAGTTTGTGGTCAACTTCAACTGGAAGTTCCCAGGCGTTACCAGTGTGTGGGCACTATTCATCTATGGCACCTCCATCCTTATTGTGGAGAAGATGTATCTATATCTCAAAGACAAGTGTAACATTTTAGTGCGCTGCTTCATTTACACACTTTGGACATACCTCTGGGAGTTCACCACTGGCCTCATCCTACGCCAGTTCAATGCCTGCCCATGGGACTATTCCCAGTTTGATTTTGACTTCATGGGCCTGATCACTCTGGAATATGCCATCCCTTGGTTTTGTGCTTCTTTCATCATGGAACAGCTGGTGATCAGAAACACCCTGCGCTTACGATTTGATGAGACTGCTGAGCCGGGGGCTCCCACCGTCCCCGTTGCCTTGGCCAATGGCCACGTGAAGACAGATTGAGCAGTGACTTAGAATCACACTTAGCAGTCTGGGAGAGCCCAGACCGCTAGCACGGACTGTCAGCTCTGGCTCCGAGGTACTGCTCCTTGCTGTATGATAAGATTCATAAACCCCATTTTTCTAATGGGGGTGTGCATGGGATATACCAGAAAAAATGGAACCAGTAGATTTTCTATGGATTTTACTCTTTGGGCTCCAAGGACCAATATCAGTTACCTGTTAGTTAAGTCATTTCTGATTTTAACTTATTACAGATGAAAGCAGTCCTTTTGCTTACACTTTAACATGGAGAAAGAAGAAAAAGAGATGCTACAGTGGAAGTGCATCCAAAAAGAAAAACACCTAATTATTTGATGGTCATGGACACGCCAGCTGAGTTAGTGATTGGCTTACTCCATTAGGCAATATTCAGGTGCTTGCTTGCAACCAATACCTCCTGTGGGACCTGAGATGCTGCAGGAACAAGGAAAATCCATCTGCTGTTGTGAAGAACCTAAGACTGGCAGTCTGCTGGGGAGGTAGATGGTGTTACCCTCGCCAGGTCCCATTGGCCTCTCCCCAGGTTCTTTTTTGCACCATGAAATAATCTGGTGCTGGACATCTCACTGAATTTATACAGATCTTGTACTTTTTGAAATCTCAGTCCTGATACTTACTAGAAATTTTTTCTTTTTTTCTTTTTTTTCTTTTTTTTTTAATGAAGGTCTTTTTTGCCAAGTGAATTTTACCATAATCTGTGCAATCTGAATCTTGGCAAAAGGCGCAACAAATAGTGCAAGTCTTCCCATCTCCTCTGTACTCCCAAAGTAGACCTTGCCTAACAGTCTGCTTCAGATTCCAGCTCCCATCTCATCCATGCAAACCTTGTAGAGACTATACAGGCCACAAGAGTTTTCTGCCTTCCTTTCCAGGGATTTCTCTGTTTCTGGTAATGTTGGTGACTTATTCTGGCTGCAGCCCATTGTATTTGGAGGTCAAAACCTTCCTGTGGCTAATGTATCTGGGATTTGGTCCTCTAGCACTGACTTTCATGTCCCTTCAGCACTGGCAGGCCTTGGCTCAGTTCTGCCCAGTTTTCTCCTCAGTGTATCAAGTGGATTTGCTTTTTCTTCCCAAATTCAGCTTTAATTAACCACAACCATATTGTCATGACAATAATTGGAGGCAGCAAGAGATATACCATGCTGCCTGATACATTTATTAAAAAAAAAAGAAAGCAAAAAACCCTTCTCTGAAGAGCACTTAATTCTTCATGGTCTGCTTGAATGAGACTTTGAGTTAGGGTACAAGAGCAGCAGTAGAGAGGTGGAGCAGAAGGGAACACCTATGGAGTACAAGGACAATTGTGGTACAGGGAAGGTTTTTGATAGTGGCAGCCAAAAGTTCACAGTTTACTCAGGCAAGTCTTGGCTTTTGAAGTTGGCAACAAACACAGAGCTTCCAGCTGTCAGATGTCTCACTCCTGAGCTGGGTTATGGGGAAGGTTTCTGTAGTTGCCCTGTAGGGTCAGATTAATTTTTTGTGTTCTTCCACCAGCGGAGCTGTACCAGGGATCAATTTGGCTTGAAATGCAAATGTGTTGTGGGATTCCACTCTTGTTTTGGAAGTAGTTGGGCTATTTCTGTGTAGGTCCCTTGTCTCTGGTAGGGGGTGCTCAACTGTGAACCTGCTTCTTGCCCTGCGGCAGCCATTCCTGAGAGGAAAAGCACTGTTGGCCCTGTGAGTTGAATTGTTTCTTGGTTCTGCTCTTATGAAGGCAGTGTTAATCCTTTTTTGTATCACACAGAGAGCAATTATTTTATTCCTCCCCTCCCCTTTCTCATGTGGCATCCATTGCTGGCAATGGACACAGGAAAGCAGTGGTGCAAGGAGTTAATCAAATCTGCCCTGGGTATGCAATGTCTCCTGAAGCACTGAGAATACTTAGGTGGATATTTAGAGTCTCCTTTTTATAGTTCATTAAATTAAAAGAGAACAAACACTGAACAGATAGTTCTTCTGATGCTGTGATGCCAGTATTATGAAATAAGAATAGTATGTAGTTTGTCAGCCTTGTTGGTCTCAGGCATATAGACCCAGGCAAAATAGTCACCTGACACTGTACATGGAGTTAAAAAAAAGATTTGTGCATGGGATAATGTAGATGAGCTGTACTGGAGCAGAACAAGAATTGCAAGGTGCAGATGAGAGTGGGATCTCACCATTTTGGCCCTGGTTCTGTCAAGGTTATCAAACACAGTGTCTAAAGCTGGGTTGTCCTCTCATAGCATAGCTTAAGTGTGGTGTTGTGCTGCCTCCTACATCACCCCCACATCATGTAAAACCCTCAGCCTCATGGAAACATCCTTAGGATCCCTGCTTTCTCCTTAGCTGTTAAAAAACTTTAGAAAGGTTAAAAGGAGTTAGCAGTGTGGTTTGGAGGAGTGGCTGTCCACAGAGCTAACCTGGTACACAGTAACAGCTATGTGTCTGTTATTGTCTGTACTTTAGAAGGTCCCAGCTAAATGCCACTGGTTTTGCTCAGTGGGGTAATATTTAGATGCTCAAAATATGGAGGGGTTTCCTAGCAGCATCTAGTATCTAGAGCATTATCCTTATTGCCTGTGTCATTGTAACAACTGTTTTGTCTGTTTTCCACTGATGTCTGACGTGTACCACCCAGCTATTGCATCTTTATAGAGTGGTAATTTATACCCAGAAGTGCACTTTACTTGCAGCTTGCACACCAGAAACAGAAAAGGACCCATCAAATTCTTAAATCAATTAATTATGTATAACACCACATACCTAATGCAACAGGATTAGCCAGACTTCTCCGTTCTGAGCAACATGGCTGCAGTCAGAGCTTCGTCTTTTCTGCAAAATCTCCCTTTTTAATACATGTGATGCTTCTTACAACATCTTGCAGAAGTGCCCAGAGCACATTACCAGGATTTTGGCGGCAGCTCAGTGAGAGCTTCAGAGCTGGACTGAAGTTGAAGAGACATTTACATTAAGAAGAAAAAAACGCACAAGGCCTAACATTTGTTGTATGTGTATCTTCCTCAGTAGATTAAAGTTGCCTGTTTTGAGTTCACCAGCAATAAAAAAACCTTGTGATTTATCTACCTTGTCCTAACTGCAGCAAGGAGAGAGTGACCCATCTCTGCCTTTCTTTTCCAGGGGGTGGTGGGATATGGACTCCAATTACCCCAGGGTTCCAGTTTCACATCTGTTCTCTTGCTTATCTCTTGTACGGTCCACCCTAAAGGATCTCAAAGTACATGATAAATAAATACAGAGTCTGGTGTCCTGCACAGAAGAGGCAGTTCAAGCATTACTGTGATGTCTATTCATACTCCAAATATCTTGCCAGAGGGAAATGTTTGATTTACAGCAGGACCAGATGGCATTTTGGTCTTTGGTGTTATAATTGAGGGAAATGTGTACATATGTACCAGGTACTATTGCGTCTTTGGTCTGAGTGCATTTTGTAATTAAAGGAGAATAATCCAATCAAGGGTTTGCTTGACTAGTCCTGTGACTATAAAAGGTAAAAAAGACTGCAGGGCTTTAGCTGTTTTGAAAATTAGGAGGCAGGTGACTGAAGTCTTGTGTTCAGTAGCATTGCTCTGCTGCTGACTGGTTTTCTAAAACCTGCACAGAAAGAAAGGGGATTTCTTTGCTTACAGAAACTTCTGCCCTTTCTGTAAATAAAACATGAGCCACCACTAAGATGTGAACTGAAACCAAATGTTTTTCTATTTTAGTTTATCCTAGGCCCTGAATACATGCAATATGCCCTGTATTCAAGGAGGCTTGCAGACCTGAGTTCTTTTCCTCCAGTCCTTCTGCCTGCAAACTGCAGCTGAACCACCTGAAGGGGGCACTACTCTCTTCCCCTTCCTTCCAGCACATCAGCAGCTACCAAATCCCTTTGTGGTCCATCCCCTGTTGTAAAGGAAATTTATCTTCTGGTCCAGCTCCTTGCTAAACCAGAAGCTCTTAGTAATATGCATCACCTCACTCAGCTGCTTTGGCACCTAATGACCAGGTCGGATCACACAGCAGGTGAGAATGGATGAGTGTTGTCCTTCTTTGGCAAATGACCTTCACTTGAATCTGTCTTCCCTTATGCCCCTTGCAGTGTCCTGAGCCAGCCACTCGGGAAGGGACTTTCTCTTCCTTTCACCTTCTGCCCTAGGGAACAGAGCAAGCTCTGCTGCTACTGGGGGGCCTTGGCACCACTCAAGGTTTTAAGCTAACACAGGTCTATTTCCACTTGGGCAGGGGAACACTGATTTTAAGAGCTGCAAGGCGCTGGTCTTCTGGCTCATCACTAGCAAGTCTCCCACAGGTCTGACAGTGAATCTGTACCATGTGGAATGGCTTACTTCTAGGATGGCAAAGATTTGCTCCATCAAGGGTTTGGCTACTTAGTTCGCTGCTTTGTGAACAAGAGTGAAGTTACAGAAGCAGATGGTGCCCCCAGTACCTGCTCTGCTTTTGGCCCTGGGCAGCTAGCACAGATGCCAAAGGAAAAAGTGCTGTTTTGATAGAAGTCGTAGGGAGGGGCTAGGGATGCACTGGTTATTTTGTGTCCAAGGGCACCACTTCTTCAAATACACAGTTGTGCTTTCCCACTGAGATCTTCACTACCTGCAGCAACTCAAGTGTTGTCTGCTTGCCCCAAAGTGTATGATTGCTTGAACTTAATCTGAAGTAGAAGGAATGCTTTAAATCTCTAGTCCTCTTTCTCTTTGGGCACTTCCCAACTTACAATTTTGTGGCAAAATACATCACATAGGGATATGCAAAGCTAATGCTCATTAAGCCAGTATAGGTACTAAAAGCCATACAGCACTGTGCTCCACCCTGCTTAGTTAATCATGCTGAAAAGCAGAATACCTTGGTCCTCAGGGTGTGCTGCCATTTGCCTATACCACTTCAGCACCTGAATTAGTACAAATGCCTACTCAGGAATGCATTTTGCCTTATAGAATGTACTCTTAATTCCATGCTTAAGAGGGAGAAAGACTGAGATCCTATATAAGTTTCATCACTGCTTGTGATCTTACTTGTTTAAAGTTTCAGCTACTTAATTGAGACCCTGGAGACCAGCTCTGGAAAGTGAATTGTTAGAGCTCTGGAGCATGTCACTGGCATCACACAGCTGCACACTGCATTGCACAGGGTGTGCTGTACAGCTCCAGTGCACAGCCAGGATGGGCTTCCACCATACAAGGACTGTGATGAGTAGAGGGGGTGATAAAAATGCTGCTGATAATGGTGGCAGAGCAAGGACTCGTGGTGATGTCTGCATTCCCAAATCTTCAAGGTCTGGACAGGCTGGAAGAAGCTCTTCCCTATTCTATTTGGCACTTCTCACAGGTCTAAAGCAAACTGGCATGTTTTTTATTTTAAGAGATGCAGACTATTTCCTTGACTCCTTACTCCGGAATCTGGGTGGCTCACTCCTCCTTTTGTAGCCACTGGATTTTCTGCTATGAATGTCCTTCATTAGTGTCTCAGAAAATACCAATTTTTAAATGGTAATCCCAAATGCTTGACATCAGTTTGTATTTATGCTTTAGTCAATTCAGGAGCTAAAGACCCTTAAGTATCTGGTGATGCTGTTTGTTTATACTGTTGTGTGGCATGCTGTCCTGCTTTATTGCTATAGTGCAGAAGAAAGAGGAGGAAATACAAGCAATTTGCTCTTTAATAAAAATACATAAACATGCAGTTGAGACAATATTTATTAAATATCTGATCTGAGATATGCATATGCTTGTAATCTCCGGCCTTTCAAATATGGGACACTTTTCAGTGCAGAATTTCACTTTCCATTGTGGTTAATCCCCTTTGCAACATCTATATTGCTGTTTCAGTGTGGTTCTGTATCTAGTATTTTGGGAATGAGAATAACAGTATTTGCCTCTATTTTTCACTTTTCACTGAAGGATCTTTTATTAAGTGCTTTTCACAAACTAGTGAAATAATTCTTACTTCTGAAGAATTAGTGAAGTAGGTCAGAATTAACCCCAAACAGCACTGATCAGGAGCTGATGAAAATATTCTGACACAGCACTGATGGAGCTGATGAAAATGTTCTGACAGTTCTCAGATGGTCATTTCAGTCCTGGAACAGGGAGTTTAACACTTTACCTATCAATCAAGTTTCCAGATTTGAGGAGCGAGTTAATAAAGTTCCAAGAAAGTTGGGAAATTGGGAAAATGCTACTTGGTTTCCACCATCTAAAGCAGTCCCAGAAATGATCACATTGTTCTTTCTGCCCAAGTTAAAGCCAGTACATGAAGGAACTGTCAGAGCCGATAGGCAGTCTTGTATAAAATAGGACTGATTTCCCTCTGTCTGTTACATAATCCCATCTCCATCAGTAGAGTACTTTTGGGTAAATATTGCTAGGGACAACAAGCTATGTTAAAGGCTAAACTGAGGTGACCATCTGCTCAACCAGCTTGTGTTGTTGTAGTTACTGCAGAGCTTACCTATTATGCTGTTTCTGTTGTCAGACCTCTCATCTGATACTGCAGCCCTTCCTATTGCTCCTCTTTCTCTATCATCTCCCTTGGGGTATTCTGTCCTTCTCCATGCTTTACCTCCACTAGAAACCCATGCTCCAATGACAGGCCTCCTATCTGAACCCCACCTTGGGCAATTCTAATACAAATGCTGTGTTAAATGATTGCCGATGAGCTGTATCTTCCATTGAAGCCCACAACAGCTGCAGTCGTCGGTGCTTTGGAAGGCAGAAAACATTTTACACACTTGCCTCCAGGCACAAGTATAGCAGCAAGTTTGCCATTACTGTTCAGTGCATTTGCTGTACCTTCCAGACCATGTCTAAGGCAAACATGTCATACTATTCTGCTTCATCTTTAAAAAAAAGGGAGTTACCACCTGGGGACCTTCTGGTGTCTTTGCTAAGGTTTGGCTTCCACTCTGTATGCACTTCGTTATCGCTAATGAGAGCAGCCTGTCAAAGCCATCCCATCCACTCCTCTTCCTCAGCTAAAGAAAGTACTCCCTCCCACCCAGGCTGCAATGCTGATCCTAGATGTCCTGTTCTTCTGCTGCTCCATCTGTTGGCCACTGATACCTATCTGCTGTCTCTAATCTTAGCCATGTTGCAAATTCTCCAGGCCAGGCCTTGCTTTTTGGTTGTCACATTGATGCGAGCATGTCCCCAACAGGATCTGTAATTGCTATGATATCATAGTAAGCATTAAAAAAAGTTTCTTGAAATTTTCAAGGATAAAAGTAAACATCCCAGCTCTGTTCCACTAATAAAACAGCTTGGCCAAAATGTCCGAGAGGCACCTCTGTTGTCCATTTCCATCCAGCCTTGTCTGCCAGCATCATGCAGAAAGGCAAATTGATGCCAATCACTTGAGCATGCCAGGAACACCAGTGGAGTGGAGCATAGCGGCACACTTTGAGTCTCCTCCCTGAGACTCCTCTTCAGAAGACACACAGGTGTCCACACTAGCCAGATGCTGGCATGCTCTAACAAAAAAGATTTTTAATGTTATTGGATGATCAGCTGGCTCTTCAGCAGAGGCTGATTGGAGTTAGCCTGGTAATGATAATGATATTTTGGTTGACAAGTGTGATGACAAAGCACAGCAGCCCTTTGATCTCGCAGTAAATGTAGCACGGTGCTCCGCAGTGTGCTTATCGTGGGGCTTTGTGCAGCATGACTGCTGAAAGTAGCACAAACACCTCCAAACGCCAGCATAGGCTGCAGTTGTCCTGGCCACTGATCTCTGGGCAAGAGTGAGGCATGCACTCAGCATGAAGCTTGTGGTGAAAGTGATGTTGCCACTACACTGTCCCAGCAAGGCTGCCTGTGACCTTACAGCTGCTGGCAAAGCCAGCAGTAAGCCTGGCCTTGGCTGCTGTCATGTATGGTTTATTAAACCCTATTTCTCTGCTTTAATTTCCATTGCCCTTCCTGTCCTTCCTCTCTGCCTCAGCAGCTGCCTTCTGGCAAGGCCTTATTGTCTGTTAGGGCCTTGGTGTTCATATCAATTTCCTGGTTTACATCTGGTGACTTAATCTTTGCCACTTGATACTTTTTTCTTGACTGGGGCTTCACA